GCGGCCTGGGAAAGCGCACGGAGCTCCCAAGGGATCTCACCAGGCGAGAGGAGACGGGGGAAAATCCAGGCTATTTTGGAAGAGGAATCTGAGGATTTTTGGAGCTCCAGCGTTTGCAAGACACGACCGGCAAGACGGAGCCTCCTCGGGAAGAGGCTCTGGCTCCAAGCACCACTAAATCTCTGGTTTGAGCCTCCTTCACCTAGAGGAACCGGTCCCAGAGCACTGCAGGGAGACTCAAATCCAGCTCCTTAAGTGGGAAGTGCATGGAATAAAACCCTTCCCACTGCAGAATAAATCCCTCGAGTTGAGGCTTCAGCATCCCAAAATAAAACGGGAAGGGACCTCCCTACAGCCCTGTCCAAGTGCAGAGGAGGCGCCGGGCACCGGCCTGTCACAGAGTCCCCAAAGGGGGTCCCGTCTGCGGCGCTTTCGGCATCTTCAGGTCCTGATGGCGCCCAAAGTCACTAATTATATTAAAATAATTAGCACCGGATATAACTAAAATCACCCATTTGCAGCTGGTAAGGCAGGTCCCGCCGGTCGGGTGAATCAGCGCTCAGGTGCTCCCTGGAAACCCCAAAGGAAAAACTTCCTGCTCCCAAAGCTCCGCGTCGCCCCGCGCAACTTCCTTCGGGAAGGAGCATCCGAGGAGCCTTGGAGCAGCTTCCCGGCGCGCTCCTTATCCCGCTCTCCTCCGCGCGGAGGGATCGGTTCCGCGGGAAAAGCGGCACAACGTGGCTCAAAGCCACGCGAGCCGCAGCTTATGGCACTGAGGTCCTTAAACATCAGCCTCGAGTCCTTCTTCCTCCCTCCTTTAGATTTTCCTCACTTTTTTCCTGCTGTATTGGGTTCACAGAATGGCCCTTTCCAGATGAATCGGCAAAATTTGCGTTTTTTTAAGGAATGTTGAGAAATCAGAGGGTACAGCTGCCCCGCGGCGCGTTCCCTGCCGGAAGGCAAAGCTGAGACTCCGTAGAGCAAAGAAATCCCGACAAAAAGGGAGTCCGGCCGCAATCCCTCGTGTCGCCAGGGGCCCTTCCTCGCCTTCGCCTGGACATTTTCCACCTCAAAGCGTCGAAGGCTCAAGAAAAAGCAGCAGATCGGCGGGTGCTGATGGAAACCAGCAAATCCGTAATATTTGTGACAAGTCTGGACGCAGGAGGTTCCCGGCTTTGTGGCCGCAGGCTGAACACACGGAGCCGGGACAAATCCCAGGCAGTTTTCCGCCCCCGTGCCGCAAACCGGCACGTGAAGGGATAAGTTTTATTGCATTCAGCTTCGCCGTCTCTTTTGTGCTTATGGCACCAGCAATACGCTCTTTCTGCTCATTTTGTAGGAAAAAAAACAGTATTGATAAAGATAAGGGTGAGAATAGGAGATAGAGTCATTAATTAAGGCTGCATTCATCCTTCGACTTGCAAAAATAAGGTGTTTTACCTCATTTTCGAGACCTCCTGCCAACTGCCAAGCACGGAGCGGTTATAAAAAGCACCGAGCAAACAAACCCGCTGCAAACGGGCTTTCCTGCCAAGTTCTTCCTCCCACGAGAGGCAGCGAGAGCGCAGCCGGTGTTCAGGCTCCCCGCGCTGGGAGCCGGCATTGAAAACATCCCCCAAATCCCCCTGCTCCGATTCTCCCTCTGGAATTCATACGAAACCGCACGAAAAGCGAGTCTCGTCCTGCAGGAGCAAACAGGACTAGGGCTTCCAAAACTCCAACCTAGGGAGTTAGGATGGAAAGAGGAGAAAAAACAAGAGGGAATAGTAAAATATATAAAGAATAGAGCGGACTCTACCTGGCTCTATCGACTGCGCTATAGGGAGCTGCTATCAGACTTGCCGAGTCCTTATGGGAACAGCTCGATCCCGTGGGAAGCGAGCCGCACGGCCCGGATCCGTTTTTAATCCGGCACTTAATCCGGGCCCTGCTGAGCTCCACGGAAAACAGCGCTGGGGTTTTAATGCCAGCGCGATGAGGAAGCAGGTCCGGCGGTCACGGCGCCCGGCGGCCTCGCTGGAAACTCCCTCGTCAAGGGGGGAAAGAAAGGCCGAAAATTCAGGATCTGCCCTTGGCGGCTCCGGGCAGAGCGTGGGGGGGAGACGCGAAGGCAACGGCCGCTCTGCCTCGCTGCGCTCTCGTTAAGTTTGACCCGAGCTAATTAAGCCAAACCGGAGGGGAAGGGCTTGGGTGGCCTCTCCAGGGCTAAGGAGCAACCTCTCGTTGGGGTTTTCATGGCCCTTCCCGAGGTCGCGCGGAGCCGTCGCGTGTCACAGCTGGCCCCCAAAATCAAGTGACAAGTGGGGCCAACCCCTTCCCCGGGATGCTGGGGGAGGCACCGCAGGGCTCGGAAGGGTTTGGGGTATCCCGAGGACGGGGGTGGGATCCTGGGCACAGCAGCATCGGGGCACCCCCAGGCCTGGAGAATTTGAAGGAGCACCAGAAAATTCCGGGGTGGGAAGCGAGACCCGAAGGCTGGAAGGGATTGGAGGGGGTAGGGGGGAGCCCTGAGAGATGGGGGAGGTGGAAGGAGCATCCGGGAGGATTTGGAGGGGGCAACTCCCAGGCCTTGAAGTATCTGAGTTGGGGGGAAAATGGGGAGAATATGGGAGAGATGGGGGCACCCCCAGTCCTGAAGGATGTGGGGAAACCACGAGGATCCAGGGCTGGGGGCACCCCTGGACCTGGAGGAACCAGGGGGGACACCCCAGGATCTGGGGGGGCTGGGAGGAGGTGGTGGGGGGGGGACACCCTGGGGA